TTTTTTTTTTTGAGACAGAGTCTTCTTATGTAGTTGAGAATGACCTGGAACTCACTATGTAGCCCAGGCTGGTCTCGAACTCACAGCAATCCTCCTGCCTCAGCCTCACAAGTGCTGGGATTATAAATGTGTGCCACCACGCGAGGCTTTCCCAGCTTTAATCTTTACATTGTGTGTGATCTCAGGGACAAACTTAGAAATTGAATAAACCATGTATATTTTTCTTTACAAGAGTTCTTATTAGTCTTGTTTATTAGTAAATAAATAAAAAGAACAACAGTCAACTAATTTAAACTATTGCTTTTATTATAATAACACGGGAGCACAAATAAATAAGCACAAAAGTATTGTAAAATATTGTTAATACACTAAAGAAATCAATTTGCTTTCAAACAACATCTGGTTACTTCATTAGTATCAAAGTACATTATAATTACATGTTACCTAAAAAAATCAAGTACAAAAATTAAGAGACAGTGAAACACCAGTGTTTATATCATTATGTGTATAGAAATGGCTAATAACACAAGAGTAGAGAAATCTGTTATCTTATGCTTATTTGCACAAATTTTCAGGCACATACCTGTCATTTCTAATGAGCAATGAAAATACAGTATGACATTCATATGTTTAGATATGGTAAACATGTTATATTGGGATGGATGTTAAATGGTTTTCTTTAAAAACCCTGTCTTTTAAAAAATGTAGTGCCATTAGCCACTAAAAAACATAGCATTTTGTATCATTTTCATAGCTATTTGTTTCAACTGTTTGAAAAGAGCAAGAAAGTAAACAAACAACTGCTAAATACGTAAACACGTTTTTAGTGCAAGATAACAAGACCTGTGACTTTACTGTGCTTTGTTTTTTAATTATCACAGTGCACTTTACACAAATTGCTACACTATAAATGTTAAGGAACTCCAAACAAAAGAAGTGCATACTAACCATTTTCATATATATTATATACAGTGTGTAATCTGTATGTGGGTGTATACACGTGTAGATGTAGATGCTTTCAGGGTGGGCAAACCCAGTTATATTTGGGAACAACTAAGTAATTCAAAGGTTTTCACACATGCCTGGTTGAAATGAGCCCATCGATTTCTTTAAAAATGTTTTCCCCTTAATTTTAAACTTCATAATATTTAAAAGGAAATGAATTTGGACATTTTTCCCAGATTATAAACATTTTGTTACACATAATTGACCCAAATATCAAAGGGTTTTAAATCATTAAATTCCCAAGTCATAATGATGAAATCTAACATAGCAAAATGTGTTACCCTTTTACTGATTTACACAGGTAGCAGTACGTATGTGTGTGTACATATAGAGGCTTACACATAAACATAGTTTATACTTCAACACTAAATTCAGTATGGTTTAGTATCTTATTTTGACTGTACACTGGATCAGAAAAATGAGAATACCATATATAAACCTATAAGAGCTGTCAAACATGAGCTTATCTTCTTAAAAACAATTGGCTTTATTTTGAAAATACTAATGATTGCATAAGCAAGCTCCTTAAATACGAGGACCACAAATTTTCCAATGTTTAATTCGAAGTGCTTCAAAATTTTATTTTAATTCAACGATACATGAGTTGTTCAATAACAAACTCACAAAAAAATAATTGGTTAATAACAAAATGTCCACCTTTTTCAATTAGCCATCTATTCTTCCTTACAGGGAAATCTAGTAAGATAAATTTAAACACTATATGTACCTTTTTTCTTTTATTTTCATTTAAGTTTAGGACATGAAGAGTTATGAATTACAGGTTTATTGTATATATGTATTCCTTTGCACATGTGAATTAACTCTCTTCTCAGAATCACTGATTAAATCATGAAAATCTCTTCTTAATTTCACATGAAAGTGTAATTTCATTTTTTGTTTTTGTAGATGTTGTTGTTTTTTGGTACCAGGAATCGAACTTGGGTCCTTGCACTTACAAGGCAGGTGGCAGAACCACTGAGCTAAGTCCCTGGTAGAAAGTATAGTTATCTTACAAGCTCTACTTTTAAAAACGGGCTTGATTAACATGTAGGTAATTGGAAAACTGCATGGATGTCTGTCTTGTCTTGATGTCTTATTTGGTCAGTGAGAAAACCAACCATATAAGGTTGTTTAGTGTTACTGATTTAGTCACTGAATTTGCTCAAAGAATCAAACCAAATTCCGTACATAGACAAGACCTACACTGATGCCCAAGCCATGGTAAGAAAAAATGTTTTTATTTTCTAGATGCAAAGAAACTTGTTCATCATTTTGAAGCGATGTCACTTCTGATAAGTGAAGTTGTATCCACTTATATCCAGACAATTGTTGTGTGTTTGAAGGTATCTATTCTTTAAATCTACTATACACATTTTAAATTCACAATGTTTTGTTGTACTTTCCCAATTAGTTAAAATGAGTGGAAATTAACCTTCTTTTCACTCCAGATTTGTTTCAGTAACAGAAACACAGGGAAAGGTTGCCAGAGTTTAGAAAAAAGGACTACTGTCATAATTCAGGTGATGCTGGCTTCTATGACGAAAAATGCAGTATTTCATTTTTTTTCTCCATCATTGGTAAAGAAATTTGTTTTTTCTCTTCAGAAAAAGTATCTCACATATAAAAGTCTCTTGCTGACAGCCAGTAAAATTTTGTTTCTATAAAATCTGCTGTGAAAAGACAATTTTTCATAAGCATGAGCTCTTTAAACCAATAACCATGCCATGTTATAATTTGTTCTTTGGCACTGCTGGAAATAAGAGCTTTATCATGGCACAGTATACTGATTGAGGTTATCCTCTGACCAAATTCATACACAGAAGTGTCCCAACTTATCACTACCAGAGAATCAGCTTATCTTTCTCTCTAGAGTAATCATCTCTTTTCCTCTACATAGAAAAACACTATACAAAGAGGACAATGATTATAGAATGGCTTTTGCCACAGTGGACAATTAAACATTGTATAGGCACAAAATCAGTGCTTTTGAGTCAAATCTCAGTGAACCACTTTTCCAGATATTTCAGTCTCTTTCTATGTTGGGGCAGATTTGGAGAAGTGCATTGAAATGTTTGCCTAAGGTCAGAATTTCAAACGTTACGTCCTCAGAAAATAATGTATTTGAACAAGGGATATGTGAAATCTGAGAACATTATGAGTTTGACAGAACAAATGAGAATGATTGAACCTGTCACACATCATTGTAGTACCTGTTTCCTTCTGGACAAAGTGGTGAGTGTTAAAAAACACACTCTGCCTAGTTCAGAGAGCTATGGGCAAGACCCGCATCTAAGAAATACACCTGGGTCTCCCTGCAGAAAGATGGTGCCTTAGAGTAAATTCAAACAATGGATAAGCATTTCCACCTTGAGCTTGACTATATATGTGCCAAGATCATAAGGATGCTGAGAATTGGTATCTTGTGTTTGATTGATTGTCGTGAGTATACACAGTCACAATAATTTAAATCAAAATAGCAATTTGGGTCATAATGCATTTTACTTATGCTTTTAATTTTACACATTTTTCATCACTTAGATTTGTGCTGCATTGGTTGTTGAATTTGAAATATAAATTCTAGTTGGTTAAATGTAGTGGCAGGATACATTTAAATTACTTAAGATCCCTCTGAGATTTCTTATATTTGTGATTCTGCTCTTTTCACCACCTCATTAATGCCAGCAAAACCTAAAACTTCTGTAAGGTTTTCATGTATACAGTTCTCCCACTTACTACTCATTCACACACACACACACACACACACACACAAACACACACAGGCTCCCACTTACCTTTTTCCTTATTCTTTCAGAATCTAGTTGGACATCAAAATATACATTGATTATAAAACATTACAAAATTATGTTTTAACATTTCAAAGGCTCTTGAAAGGAACTATTACTGGTAAAGCACTGCTAGTTTTTTTTATCAATATAGATTACAAAAATTCCCTAATTCCTGTCATATTTGGTTTTATTGAGCAGCACACCACGATAGCTGTCAATACCCTTACAAGGAAAGCTACTGTAACAATAACTCCAGACACACACTTTTTGTCTCTCAGAAATATAATACTAAACTGATTGTTAGTGAAGAATCACATACTGTCAATTTTAGGAAGCATAAATAGTAATTTAAATATATAAAATATATGTGATAGTTTCCTTTTTATTTATCTGTGGCAATATTTATATTCAACTAACAAATTACTTTTAAAAGATATATGGAATTATTTTAAACTTAAATTTCATCACCACATAAAATTGAATCCGCCTTATCCTCTATCCCCTGTATTTCCTGTTTCTTCCTTGAAAAAATATAAAATAAAGAAGTAATCATAATTCTTTGGTCATGAAGTCATGATTGGTAAGAACTGTTATGAGGGTTATACACAGATTATGACCCGAAATGTAATAATGAGTTTGAATGAAATAACAAGAAATACTTTTCCATTCATGGATTTAAATTTTGAAAAAGTCTGGCATTTCGGGTGCTAAACTAGGTAAGCTGGTCTAGTTAAATTTTATTTCTTTTTGTAAGGGAAACAATCACGTATGTGAAATGTGACTTGGAAACTGTGTTTGCGGTGACCACAGAGCCACTGGCCCCACCCTCTCGAATGCAATCTCGCTCTTGAATTTCTGATTCCTTACTCCTTCCATTGTCACAGTGAACCCTGGTCTCCTCCCGTCAGATCCATGATGCAAGGACACGTGTCCCTAAGTCATTTCTGAAGGAAATGTCCTAGCAACTTTCTCTACAGTCTGACTAACCACTGCTTGATATAATCAAGAAGGTATTGGAGAGGAAATTTTATGAAACCAATGTAGTAAAAATGTTGGTGTCGATGTAACCTGGACATCCAAATTAACATCATTTTTGCATTGATTTTTCTGTCAGAACCTTAAAAACATAAAAAGCAGCGGTGTTCTTAATGAATGTGACATTCAACTTTTACATTACTAGCACCAGATCATGTATTATGTGGTTGAATATGATTTATAGCTGTGAGCTCTTCTACAGAAGCCATACGTAGGGAGGAGGAAAAAGAAAAGGGTTTTTAAAGAAAAAATTAATAATAAAAGGCATCAAGGAATTACATATAAAAGAGATAACAAACCAGTTAATACCAAAATTATATCATATAGTAAACTTGATATTTCTGTACTTTATATACGTATAGTGTGTATTGATTCAGGTGTCACCCATAAACTAGTAAAATATTTACACTTTAATATCTTCAGGATTCAAAATAATCTGGGATAAATTAAGTGTGCCTTGATTTCAAGGACATATACATTTCATATCGAACATGCTGTAAGTAGGCACAGCTCCCTGTAGCACTGCACGCCCACAGAGAAGATACGCAACCATTAAATATCAAGGGACTGAGTCGGCCTCCCTCTTCATATTAAGCGGCGTGGAGTCCGGGTCCTGCACACACTCATATGGCCGTATCCCAGAACACTGTCTGCTGCTTAGAGTAGGGCGGAGGGCTGCACTTCTTTGAACCTGCGTTCTTCTTCCAGCTGGGTAGAATAGGCATGCTATCCTGTTTGCAAAGGCCCTTTTCCGTTTTCTGTCTAGCCTTTATTTCCTTGCATAAGCAACGCTTTTTCTCAATCATCTCAAGCATTGTATGGTCTCCATGAAACCACTGCATGCATGCCACCTAGCAAAAAAGAAAAAATGAATACAGAAGAAAAAAATGGAATGAAAGCATTTTTTTTTCACTGTGCTATTAGTTGCTTAGTTGTTTGTATACATCCTTTAAAAACTCTTAAAACGTATTGAGAAATGTAATAATACAAAGCAAAAATGAAAGCATGGAAACTGTCTAAAATGTTAAATAGCACGATATTATTTATCTAATAATAACTTGGGCATTAATTTTTTTCTGATATATTCTAAGAGTTCACAATGTGGAAACATGGCTTTTTATTTTGTCTTTTCCAACAATTTGCCAAAATCTGTCTACTATTTTCACACTGGTTACATTGTGTTATTCATCTATGTGTCTAAATTCCATAACTGAGGTTACTTTTTAATGTGATCTAATATAAACATAGTAAGTTTTAATGATGTTAATGTAATTTTCATTCTTAAAATACATTATAGTCTTTTGGGTTTGTTTATAAATAACATGTAGTATGATAAATATTCATGATAGTTCTTTTTGCTAAAATAATTTTCACTGTGCACCATATGCTTGGAATCCAAATGCTTAAACAGTTCTTTGAAAAACTGTTTACTGTCTTTTTAGATGCTTTAGCAAATGCCTAAATTTCAGTCATTGGCCTCTACAATCCCATTGACACAGATCCTAATAAATTGCAGAAACATAAGGAAAAAAAGATTCATCAGGTCAGTTGGATTGTCAGGAGGAACTTCAAGGTACACTCAACATTGACACAAATATGTATGTTTTTGGACAGTAAACATTACCAGGTATCATTCTACCACAGCCACTAGAACTGTCTTTCGAAACAAGTCTGCCATATAAACCAAGATGAAGAAGCTTACATTTAATTGTTGAAGAAAATACGCTCTATGCCTTATGGGGTTAAAATAGCATCCGTGAAATCATTGAAATTGGTGTTATAATTTTAGGATGATAAAGCAAATGTTTATCTAATGTTTACTCTGTATCATGCTAAATTCTTTGCATGGTTTAACTCATGTATTCCTCACAATGATGCTGTAAAACATACACTATCAGGGAATCCATAATGATGAATGAAATAACACTTAAAGTAACGAGGTAATTTGCCCAAATTTACAGAGCCAGAAAGCTGAGTCCATTCATGCTTTTAACAACTACAGTATACTGCCTTTCAATGTGTGTAAAAACTGGAAAGAATTGGGAAGATAAATTAGTATAATACTCTTCATGTATAGATGAGGAAATTAAGGTTTTAACAAGTTAGGTGCAGAGGTAGGTTTTGCTGAGTATAATTCTCATGATTCCTAATCCACTAGGGAAAAGTGAGAACTAAGATAGAAAACATGGATTCAAATATTGAAAGTGTCAAATTTCTCCTGGTCTTGGGCTTTTTATCTGAATAACTTGTTGATGATACTGCACATTCAGCTGATGATATGAAATGCAATAATTGGATATGAAGGTCAGCTCATGGGTAATCAGTGCATTTTAAGTATAAATTTTGTCTTGGTACTCATCATTTGTTTGGTACGCAATAGCAAAGCTAGACCTTAGTGGTGCGGATTATCCCATGACTCACTCTTCTTTTGTAACCAAATCAAATTGTTTCATACTCATAGTTTAGGGTTGTGCTGGGTATGCTCCTGCCTTTTGAGACAAATTAATGATGAGTACCGAGATGCATATAGTGATAGTTGCTGTTGAATGCATTAGCATTCCTAGGTGCTTCTCCAATGCAAATACATTGACAGCTTTGTATGTGAGTTAAAAATGCTTATCGACTAACAGTTAAAATCAATAATCTGGACTTGGAAGCAAAAGATGATAATCTTAGGTAAATATCTTATACATGCCTAAACTGATGCAAAATCCCTTGAAAAGATGGGCTATGTATATACCTTTTGATGTCTCCTAGTCCCTAGATCAGGATCTTGGATATGGGCATTCATATTTGAAATAAAATCCTAGATGTTGAGTTAATCTAATGAACAGTTTTGTTTCCCAAGAGGATGAAGCCAAAGTAACTCAGAAAGTTTTGAAAGACTTTTATAACATGATAATCTATGCAGTAAAATACAGTAACTCTATTTTGATGGAAATACAAGCACAGTTTATTGAGTGACTATCAACTTTCAGGGAACTTGTAACAGAGAATTGTCAGAGGAAAGACCTTAATCTCACTCATCTCAGAAGTCTCAACATGCAGAACAGAATCATGGGCTCTCAGTAAAATTTTATGAATTCTATAGAAGTTACCTTCATTGAACAGTTTTTGTTGCCTCTTAGAAAAATTCTACAGATAATTTTAGTAAAATCTTAATTTTGCCTTACACATTTCAGTATAATAGGAAAACCTCTAAACTTCAATCTATCTTATAGCATCACTTCTGCATTTGAGTTTTATTTATTTGTTTACATGTACATTAAATCATTTATTACTTAATATTCTTTGGTATTTTTGTGGTGAGAATCAGTATGCATGACTATGAAATAATATTCTTTATTTTGGACATCATAGAGGATATGTTTAGTATTTATATGAAATGTGTTAAAATAAACCCATTAAAGATTTCATAATTTTCCTGGGTTTTTTTAAACAAAATTTTTCACTATCTTGTTAGAATATTATTATAAAATTCCATTCCATATCCTCTGGCAGTTGAAAGAACTTTGAGAATCTACTATGACAACTAATTTGAAACCAAACCCCATAAATGAACTCTTCTAGTATAGTTATTTAATTAATAGCCATTTCTGATCATTCATTGAAATGCATCTGTCATTTTATCATGTAAAATAATACATATACACTGGAAGGTAAGAAGAATTGTGAAATAACTATAAGATAAACCTTCAATTATTATGAATACACATATCTGGGGCAATATTTTTATATTAACATGACTCATCAGAAGCGATATTCTTGAATAATATTAAGTTCGTGGAAATAAAATCAAACGAAACTCCCTCTCGGGGAAGTGAAACAAAAATATCTATCCCTGTGTGTTAGTTACCTGGTAAATACTTGTCAAAGAATACAGGGTGGAAGAGGGGAAGAGGAATAACTTTATAATGGAGAAACGTTCTACAGGCTGAACATCCACGCCCTCACAAAATTCCCACGCTGAAACTCTCACATCCAAGGTGATGGTACTAAGTGAGGAGACTTCCGGGATGTGTTTACTTAATGGTATTAGCGAGTTTATAGAGGAACCTCCAAAGGCATCTCTTTCTTCTCTTTCACCATGTGAGGACACGGCAAGAAGCTGATCTGTAACCTGGGGAGGCCGTCACCTAAACTCAACTGTAGGGTACTTGACCTTGATCTTCCCGGGCTCCAGAACTATGAGACATGACTGTTTACTGTTTATGGACTGCCCAGTTTAGATATTTTATTAGAGTAACCCAAGCAGAAGAGGCACCTGGAAAACACCACTTTCAACAGGTGATGAACAGCGGTCATGTTGATAGCAGGTGACCTTGCTGTCATGTTACAAGGATGGCGACGCTTTACCTCCGCCGTCTTTCTCCCTCAAACTCCCATGTGTCATTGTAATCAGGAAATGATCCCAAACTGAGAGACTGTCTACAAAATACTAGGCTAGTACTCCGGAATGCTGTCGAGGTCATCCAAAATAAAGGAAGTCTGAGAAACTGTCACAATCTACGGAAGCATAAGGAGCCTCCAGGACTAAAGGTAATATATGCTCTGCGCTAGAAGGCACAGTGGAGAAGAGAAAGACTTTTAGATAAAAGCTAAGAAGGGGATGAAGCATGAAATTTAGTGGATTGTAACACAGCAGTACTGATTCATTAATTGTGGCAAATGAACCAAAATTGATGATACAACTAGAGACGATGGATGTGGTTATACACTCTCTGAAACTTTTCCGTAAGCTAAAATTTAAAGGACACATGTTTTTTAAAAATGAAGTGAAATGATTATATCCTTTCTAAAATGTGAGTTTAGCAGTACCTCTAATTTTCTAAAAAGGAAATGACACACTATTTTGGAATATGTTAAATGACATGATTGGGGTCCTGGTTTTTGGGTGAGGATAAAAAGTCATTCATCTCTGTAAATTCTACATATGTTGTGTGACTGTTGGCATATAATTCATATGTACATGGCATGTATACTTGAATATAATTCACAAACATGCTTTGTATTCATGGTACCCATTTGTACATATATTAGGTAGATCGGTGATACATCACAATTTACATGGCTGTGAGGGGGTGAAATATAGTGTTGAAGTGGTGAAGACTCATACATACTAGGAATCATCAGGAGCAGCTTTTAATTCATTTTTCATTCACTTTTCTTTTGGAAATAATTAAGTACTTTCTGAGGTTAAGAATATATTTTCTGCAAAGATCACATAAATAGCAACGCAGTACCATAATCAATCGCTATAATGTACATTTAAAACATTTACTGTTCCAAAGTATATAAATCATAAAGAGAAAAAAATGCTCTGAAGTAACTACTTGGATTATCTTAATCTTACAAATGACATGAGAATAAAACTCTCCTATCTCTATTTTTTTTTCTGTGCCTCATCAATTAGAATGTGAAACAATAATTTATCAAAGAGTCAAAGACTCAGGAGACGGAATGCAATGTTCAGCAAGTACCTCACTGACTTTACCAGAATTAAATTCAGTAGCAAGTCTTGAACTTTATGAATACAATTTTCTTTCTTCAACAATAGGCACAACAATCAATACTAATTTGCACATGATCAGAGGCAAATAATCTATCAGTCCTACATTCCTCTTTCTAAATTTGTTCAATCTGGGTAGCTGGTTGTATGAGAAATTTGTACGTCCTGCATAGGGAATAGCAACTTTACCCTGGTCAAAAAGGAACCTGAAATGGTCAAAGTTCTTTGGATTTTCTCTTTACTCCACAGAAGATTTCCCCAGGAGACCATGGAGAACAGCATGAGGCAGTAAGGAAGAAAAACAGGAAGCTAGAATAGGAAGCTAGAAAAGGAAGCTAGAAC